TCTCTGCAGAGCACTGCCCTACCACTAAGCTCTATCTTCAACAATTTTAAGTAACTGCCTAGCTCTCCACCTCCTTCTCTGTTTCCCTTCTCAGATTTGTCTTTTACAAGATAATTATTCCTAGAACAGCAAGTTTCACTCTTGAAACTTCCTTTTTAAGAATGGAGGAGGAGGAGGAAGAAAAGGTGGAGGAGGAGGAGGCTGGGCGGGAGAAGGTAACACCCAACACCAGGGCGGCAGAAGTTAACGTTTAGTGCTTCCCACAGGCCAGGCACTGCCCTCAGCCTGAAGTTCCAGGCTTACCTCTCAGGCAGACCCCCGACTTAGCGGCATTCTCCCCATTTCGCAGAGGGCCAAGCAGAGACCGTCCTGCAGAGCGCGAGTCCAGGCTCCGCTGTCTGTGGCTGTGCGTCCGCTGTGCGTCCACTCCACGCCCCCCACCCCCGCCCCACTGGACATGCAGAGGGCCCCGTGGACATGCCTCACAGCTTGGACAGGTGACCGGCTTCAACAAGAAGCACGGCCGCAAACGTAATCTACTAAAAGCGGCCACCGTGGTAAAATGTCCCCGGATTTCAGAGGTGAAATTCCGCACACAAGATGCGACAGGACACCGCCGGCATCTCCCTCCCTCCTTCCTTTCCCGCGTTGAAGCGAAGAAGCCTTAGTCGCTGCCAACTCCCGGCTCCCACCCGGGATGGAGCCCAGGTCCCCAGCACGTACCTACACACGGCCACTCCACAACCCCGCCTTGGCCCCGGACGCACCTGCCCAGTGCCCAGCACGTACCTGGACCTCCCGCCCTCCTCCCCCCCTCACCCAGACGCATCCCCTCTCCCCAATCCCCAGCAGACACCAACACCTGCCCAACTTCCCCCACCCGGGACGCACCCCCGTCCACCCCACACACACACACACAGGACGCAGCCCCGCCCCCAGCAAGACCCACACCTGCCCAACACCCCCACCCACGCACGCCCCCAGCACGTACCTGCACCTGCGCGACCCCCGACCCCAGCACGTCCCCGCACCTGCCGCCTCCCGCCCCCCAACTCGTCCTCGCACCTGAGCGACCCCCGCCCCCCAACTCGTCCCCGCACCTGAGCGACCCCCACCCCCAGCCCGTTCCCGCACCTGCCCGCTCCCTACCACGCACCTCCGCCCCCCCAGCACGTCCCCGCATCTGCGCGACCCCGCCCCCTGCAAATCCCCGCACCGGCCCGCCCCCCCCCGCCAGCACGTACCCGGACCCGCCAGCGCCGCCGGCAAGCGTGGACACCTCGGGCGGGACGCCCCTATCCCCCTGTTCCCCCCACACACCCGTACCCGCGCGGCCGCCCTGACACCCGCCACCCTCGCAGGCTCGCCGGCGCCGTCACACTTTGCAAAGTCCCTGTGGCGTCCGGGGCCCTCCGGCCCCGAGGCCCCCGCGCTCCCCCCCGTCCCCGAGCCCCCCGCCCAGCAGCGCGGCGCCCACCTCCCCCCCGCACCCGCGCCGCTCCCGCGCGCTCACCCGGTGCTGGTACAGGCAGACGTTCCCGAAGCCGCCGGCGCCCAGCCGCTCCCGCATCTCCCAGGGCCCGCCCGCGCCCGGCCGCAGCCCCGGGGGCCGCTCCATGGGGCGGGAGGGGAGGCGGCCGCAGGTTCCGCCACTGCTCCCAGGCCGGTTCCGGGGCGCCGGGGCGCCGGGGCTCCCGAGGCTGGCGTCTCGCGAGAATCGCGTCATTTCCGGCGGCTGGCTCAGGCCCCGCCCCTCCCAGCTCCGCCCCGCCGCGCCCCGCCCGCTCCGCAGGACTCGCAGGGCTCTGGCTGCGGAAAGGGTGGGGAGAGGAGAGCGCTTCCCGTCTTCTAGTTGGGTATCCTGCTCGGATTCCTGGCTGCGAAGCTCTCTCCAGCCCCCGCCACCCCTTCCGCTCACTTCCTAAACCGCACTCTCCCCTATTTGTCATTCTCAACTTCTCCACCCCCTGTCTACACTTCACCTTTTCTTCGGACCTCTCTGCCACCTGTCCAACCCCAACACGCGCTGAGCTGGCGCTGGCGCTGGCCACCACTGATTTACATATTATTGAATCAGAAGAACCTGCTCTAACAGGCCCCTGGGTGCATCAGCCTGCATAGTTTGCTTCTTTAGAAAAAAAAATAGATTAACCACCTTTCCTAGAGCAGTTAGGCTAGGCTCAGCTCCTCTTTCCCTTGAATTCCTATACACCCCTTAGGGTTCTTCCCTGCAATCCCCAACAACTCAAGGTTGTGAAACTGTAGGGCCTCGAGGCACTCTTGCTTGACTTTGGGAGCTTTGCCTCCTGTTCCTCATGGGCTTTTTCATTAAGCAGTCTTCCACTTAAGGGTTTTCAATACAACACTTCCTCCTGGGAGAACTGCTTCAGATGCACGTGCATAGAGACAAGCTTTGGAGTTCCTTTGGAGTAACAGCAAAGGGTTTCAGGCAGCCTTGGCCTAGGGGAACCATGTCAGTTTTAGCTTGTGGTGGTTGGTCAAATGCTCTTCAACTTCAAGATCTTGTCACACTTCAGGTAGAGCACCAGCACGGAATCAAATTTGATTAAGAAATGTGTCTATTGGCTAGGCCAGTGCGATAGTACAGGGGGTAGGGTACTTGCCTTGCACATGTCCCACCTGGGTTCAATCCCTGGCATCCCTTTTATATTCCAAGCCTGCCAAGAGTGATCCCTAAGCACAGAGCCAGGAGTGAACTCTGAACACTTCAGCCTGTGACCCCAAACATTTGTGATCTCCCCCATAAATGTCTGTTGTGTTAATTATGTCATAAGACTGAGATCGTGTACACTTGGACCATTTGTGCAGTCTACTGTGAACTCAGTTTAGAATTTCAACTGATGTGTGAAAGTCTAACGTTTAGTCTAGTTAGACTAGAGCGATAGCACAGCGGGTAGGGTGTTTGCCTTGCACGCGGCCGATCCGGGTTCAATTCCTCTGTCCCTCTCCGAGAGCCTGGCAAGCTACCGAGAGCACAATGCCCACACAGCAGAGCCTGGCAAGCTCCCTGTGGCGTACTCAATATGCCAAAAACAGTAACAGCAAGTGTCACAATGGAGACATTACTGGTACCCACTCGAGCAAATGGATGAACAAGGGGAGGACAGTTCTACAGTGCTACAGTGCCAGACTGTGCCAGAGCAGATGTAACATAGTGGACCAGTGCAATACAGCAATGTTGCTGGCTGCTTTCAAGTATACATGTTTCTTGTCACTTGGACGCAGAAAAGAGCAGCCAAAATGTGGATCCATCACTGTACGATGATGTCATGTTGGAATAGCAGATTCTGTTTCCCCACATGTGCTTGAAAGCTATGGAGCTGAAATATCAAGCTTGGGTGTGATGGCAAGTAGTATTTCCAAGAAAAAGCACATCTCTTAAAGTTGGGTTGACAGGGCAGATTGTGGTGGATCGTCCTAACCTAATAGGAAGCCCTTGTTAGCTGGCTGTACAGCCTAACTTGTATGGAGGGTGCCCGATCTCCAGTACATATAAGCACTCAGGCAGAAGAGCCAGAGGATGAGAGGATGCTGTGGACCTGAGAATACTAGAAAAGGAACTAATCCTCGAGAAGCCATCTTGCAAGATGTTTTCTGTTAAGTTTTCCCCCCAGTGGACTCCTCTAATATCCCCATTTTCAAGGCAGCTGCCTATCTCTTTTATTAAAAATCCTGGAATCGGGCCAAAGTGATAATCCAGTGGGCAGAGTACTTGCCTTGCATGCGGCCAACACAGGTTCTGTTTCCAGGACCTCATATGGTCCTCCAAGCCAGGAGTGATCCCCAAGCATAGCTAGATGTGACCCAAAAACAAAAGCAAAAAAAAAAAAAAATCCTAAGCAGATGACCTCAGGCTCTATAATCTCCAAGTTTGAAGCCTCAGTTTTTCCATGTATGAAAATGGAGGCAATATCTACCTTACAGATATTTTCTGAAGATGAATTAAGTGAAACACTGTCTGGGCCATACGTTCCCAGTATATGAGCAATTATTTTTCTTTCAGTTTCCAAAACAGAGCATTCTCCTATGACATTTCTCTATCCTTCTCTCTGCTCCTTTTTCATGTACAAGTCAGGTCACTATTTCCAAGCCCTTCTTTGGGGGAGTAGATGTACTTGGAGACCACACCCAGAGCCAGGGACAGAACTGGGATTGGCCACATGTAAGGCAAATGCCTTAACCACTGTACTATTTCTCCACCCCATCAAAGAATGAATTTATTGATATTTGGGGTGGTCAGCAATCTGGCTCAGAGTTCCAGCATGCGTCTTGCAAGTGTGAGATGATGGGTTCAATCACTGACACCACAAAATGTAACTGTTATTAATTTTTAGCAATCTTCTTCAATTTAGGACTGTACTTACCATATCATAATTTCAACCATTCTTGTAATTACACCTATAGTCTATATGATACTCTCCAAAGCCTTATCACCAACCCAGACACCATGAATTTAGAACAATCCAACAGCCCAGAAATACTCAACATATCCAAAACAGAACTCATCTTTTCCTCTATCTGCCCCTTCTGTCCCAGTTAAACTGTAGACTCTGAGGTAGCAGGGACCAAGCTAGGACATGGTCTTATTCCAGGGGCCTAGAAAAATGCCCATTATACAAAGGAGTATTCACCACAGGACTAAATGAAGATTTTTTTCCCTTTGGTTTCTGGGCCACACCCAGCAGTGATCAGGGCTGACTCCTGGCTTTGCATTCAGGGATCACTGCTGGCAGGGTTAAAGGAACCATATGAAGTGCTGGGGATTGAACCTGGATCGGCCATGTGCAAGGCAAGTGCCTTCCCCACTGAATGAACTCTTCTGTACCAATGAGTGCTGCGAGAGAAAAAAAAGCAAATGCCTCGGGTCCTTTCTCCACCCTCTAAGATCCTGGGCTAATGGCCGGTCCCTCCAGTTATACACACACCACTTCATTTCAGAGGGTCTCTATAAACACAGGACACCACCCAGCTGTAGAAAAGCATTTGGTTTTATTTCATGGTTTAAGTGTTTCTTAAAATGTTGGTAAGCTGTGATAGGAAGATGACAGACATGCTTTTAATATGGAATTTTCATCCTGTAATGTGACTTCCAGAAACTATTCAATCTTAGGCCTCTTGCTACAGGCAGGTTCCATGGGAATATACCAAAGAGAGGCAGGGGAACAGACTTTATAGGAAACTACAGTTTCTTAAAAAAGCAGACAGCTGGGACTTCCTGGGCAGTTCACGGGCAGCTGTCTCTCTGCTCAGTCATCCAGCGTGAAGTCGAAGGGCTCAAAATCTTTCCGGAAGCGGCGAGCTAGTGTCTCCTCCTCTTCCCTGCTGACCTGACACTGCCTCCAGTCAGACTTGTCAGGAATATTAAGGATAGCTTCACTGGCCAAGACCTCCCTGCAGAAAGAAAACACACAGAAGTCAAAATAGGCCCCAAAGTCAAAATCTGTAACAAACCCCTTCTCCCTCTATTTTTCTCCAGACACAGCTGTCCTCTAGGTACCATCCAAAGAAGGTATGCAAATAATCTGTCTTTGTACGTAAGGTTTCCTCCTGCCCTAAGAGGTATCTGCCATCCAACTGATCAAAATCAAACCCAATTTCAATGACCAACTCAGAGACTAATTTCTCTTTAACTCTTAAATCCCGTTGACCTCTCTCAAACTAAAGCATCAGAACTGAAAGAGCAGCACACAGCCCAGCAGAGGGGAGGTCCCTGTGTCCAAAATGTTCGAGTCACTGGAGTGACAGTCCAGGTACATGCCTTATCTGCGGCTGAGCCCACGACTACGTGGTCTCCCAAGTACTGGTGGGTATGGCTTTGGAAGCTCCCCAAGTACCTCCGAGGTAGCCCAGATACTCCCTGGGACTTGGGGCTTCAGTAGTACCACATCCTCTAAAGTCCCAGCTGGCTGGGCTGAGAGCCCTACCCCACCTTCCCAAAGAAGCAAGAGACTGAATTCTGCTTCCAGCTCTGCCATTTACTTTCTCAGTGCCTGGGGCAGATGACCTCATGTTCGGTCTTGAATTCCTTGCCCAAATTAAAGAAGCATAAAACATCTAAGCACAAAACTTGGACAGTTTTACACTATCTTAAACAACAGTTGCTTTGGTCTGGGGGCCATACCCAGAGGTGCTGAGGGCACACCTGGCTCTGTGCACAGCTGGCAGTGCTTGGGACACCACACATGGTCCCAGGATTCGAATCAGGACCATGGCTACAGCAGCATGCGGGGCAAGCACCCTAAACTTTGTTATATCTCTCTGGCCCCTAAACTATAGTTTGGTCATGCCGTCTGGAACACGAATTTGCTGAGGGCATGGTGCAGTTAGGCATCAAGTGTTACAGCTTCTGGCTTTTTATTTCTTTAGATTTTGGGGCCACACCTGGCAGTGCACTCAGGGACCACTCCTGGTGATGCTCAGAAGACTATATGGGATGCTAGAGATTGAACCTGGGTTGGACACATGCAAGGTAAGTGCACTACCAGCTGGACTGTAGCACCAGCCCCACAGCCACTGTCTAAGGTTCCCAACTCTCCTCTTAGGAACTCAGCCTACACAGCACAACAGTAGTAACTCAATACCAGCAAAACTACTTCCCTCAGCTCTTGGCACTTAAGAATAACTATCCTCATACACACATTATACACACTATTTGTGTATCTGTATGGCTCAGTTTCCACTTTGAAGGTACAATAAATAGAAGGGAAGTCCTGTGAGTTCTTTTGAAAGTCAAAGGACCTGACATCCAGTTACTGCTCCTTGGGCTAACCACAGTCCACTTCTTTATCCGGAAAAATGAAGAGAGACCACCACCTTTCTTGTGGAGCAGAATGTCTTTTCAAGTATTTTGTAAAGACGAAAGGCTAGGTAATTAAGTATTCCGAGACAAAGTCTGTGTTGAGCTGCTACTGACAATCGTGAACACAAAGTAACTCAGAGACACTCTCCTGAAAGTTCATGTGCCTGTGACTCTCTGCAGTCAGGAGCCTGTGTCAGAGGCCTGCATGGCTACAACTGCTGCTGAGGAAGTAAGAGCGTCAGATGTTTACAGTTCCTGGCAGACTTCTTGTTTATTATCTTCTTGATGAAAATGTAGGTAGCTTCATTTAGCAAACAACCAATGGTGATGGTGTCTTGGAGGAGTCCCAAATTAGTTCAAGGAGGGTTCAAAGTTGCCACAAAGCTCATTTATTTTAAATGGGGGGTGGGGGGGAGGAGTGTTGCACACATCATCCTCCCAAAGAGCTGAAAATCAGAAAATCAGATACCAGCTTCAGAACATCTGTCTCCTATTTCCTTTCACTGTGATCAGACCCAGGGCCTCACACACAGAAGGCATCTTCTCTACCAATGGGCTACATCTCCAGCCCCAATTCAGAACATTTACTCGATTTTTTTCTTGCCAGCAACTTTGGGTCTTCAGTTTGCCTAATTACAGCAGCCCCTCTATTTTGTGGTCACATTCTTTTTGATAAGAGATACCAAAAAATGAAGCCTCATCCAAGCCTACAGGATACCGCAGAGCGATGAAGCCGAAACTTACTTGGGATCCAACAGCCCTGGAATTTAGCCTATGACTGTGTGATCATGGGCCAACTAATGAACCCAAACCAAATGAGCCATGCTGTATGCTGTATCCTAGGTTTTTCTTTGTTTCTGGCCAAAGCTGGCGGTACTCAGGACTTACTCCTGACACCCCTCTATCTATTCCTCCTGGGACCCCTTTCCTTTCCCCCACTCTAACCATACACCAGTAATTTTCCCTGAGGAGAAATGTGTTGTATGTGGCTTTTTATTCAACTGTCTATGAAACACACTACTTATTGTTCAGAAACTTTGTTTAAAACTATATTTTAAGGGGCTGGAGAGATAGCACAGCGGGTAGGGCGTTTGCCTTGCACATGGCCAACCCAGGTTCAATTCCCAGCATCCCATACGGCCCCCTGGGCATCACCAGGAGTAACTCCTGAGTGAATGAGCCAGGAGTAACCCCTGTGCATTGCCACGTGACCCAAAAAGCAAAAAAAAAAAATTTAAAAATTAAAAAAATAAAATAAAACTATATTTAAAATACACATTTTGGGCCTGAAAGACAATACAGTGGGTAAGGAACTTACTTTGCAAGTGGCGAACCCAGGTTCAATCCTTGGCACCCCCGGTGGTCTCCCAAGCACCACCAGGAGTGATCCCCAAGTGCAGAGTCAGGAGTAAGTCCTGAGCACTAGTGGGTGTGGCTCAAAAACCCAAAACAACAACAACAATTTTTGTAATAAAAATTAAAAATAAAATACAAACCTTCCAAACTGCAAAGGAAAGTTCTTTTTGATTCTGTGGAAAAGCTTTTCTCCTGTGTCAAGCTCAACATAAAAATATGCAGCTCCTGGCTGTGCAATCTAAAGGTAAACAGAGGTAAGTTACATGACAACATACACTAGTCCTTGAAATCTCAACTCCAAGTTCATCTCCACAAGCTTTAACTTAGCCAAGAAGTGGATCTATACTCATAAAAAAGGATGTGTGCAGCAGTAGATCCCAAACCATACGGAGCTTTGAAAGCAAAATTGGAAAGTCTTACAAGGACGCTCACCTCCACCCCATCCTTCTTAGCTCCTTCTTCGGCAATGCATCACTTGCCCCAGGAAAGCACGAGGGCACTGCGCTAATGCCATCTTCCTTCTAATCGATACCCCATACTCTCATTCCAAACTGTCTCCTGCTTGTGTTAACGTGTGGGGATTGGGGACACCTTGAAGTCAAGGACCTCAGACCCTGCACACCAGAAACGCCATTTTCAGTGTGACTGAAGGAACTTCAACCCCCCATTTCTGCTTCACCTGCTTGATGTCAGAATGCTCTGGGATCTCCAACAGCTCCATCTGCTGCTCCTGTGCCTGGGTGATGAAGGCATCTTTAATATCGTCGGTACTGCAGCAACCGAGTGGCACCGGGATGACCTGGTTGGGTTGGGGGGGAGAGGGAGGGGGTTAGAGAAAGGAGGAATTCATTGTGCAACTCCGAGAGAGGCCAGGCCTCCAACAGAGCCCCCGAGGGGAATCGAATCCATCACAGGGGTAAAGAAGCACCCCTCAGCACAGATTCTCCTCAGGCCGGACAGGCTGAGGGCAGCCTGTCCGTAAGGACTTAAACTTATGAGAAGTGTCTGTCGGAGCCAAGCGGGGCCACGGGAAAGGCTCGAGAGCGCGCTCTGGCCTCCAGCCCTTGCCAGCTCCTCTATAATGTACGTGGCAGAGTCAGGCCCATTTGAAAACTTAACAAATGCGCCAGATGAAAACCACCACAGCTGCATGGAAGTGCCCATCAACACCCTCCACTCCCTATGCTTCCGAGCTGCCAGCTCCTCGCAGGCCCTGGTGTTATTTCCTGCCTGAGCTGCCGCTCACGCTGTGCCTCCTCACGGCACACCTGCTCCTCTAGATCCTGACAAGCTCCAAATCTTCCCTGGAGCCTTTCTCGGCCACCCTTTCCTTTTCCTTCAAAAAGGCATTATCAGGGGCCAGAGAGACAGTACAGTGGGTAGGGCGCTTGCCTTGAACGCAGCCCGCCCAGTTCGATCCCAGCATCCTGTATGGTCCCCCAAGCCCCACCAGTAGTCATTCCTGAATGTAGAGCCAGAAGTAATCCCTGAGCATCACTGGGTATGACCCAAAAACAAACCAAAAAAAAAAAAAATGGCATTATCAGGATCTGAGAGATAGCAGAAAAACAGGCAGGAAACTTGCCTCTACATGGCTGACCTGGGTTTGATTCCCAATACCACATATGGTCTCCCAAGCACCACCAAGAATAATTCCTGACTATGGGAGTAAGCCCTGAGTACCTCCTGGTATGACCCCTTAAAAACAAACAAAAAAGGTATTATCTGGAGTGGGGGTGTTGGGCTCATGGCAAAGTGCATGGCTTGCATGCAGAAGACCTGGGTTGAATCCCAGCATGACACCCTGACTCACCAAACAAGTATCATCTCTACTGTTCACTTTAGTGACACTGTGAAGTCTCTGAAATTGCCTCCAGAGACTCTCTCAACTTTTAGTGAATATTACTGAAATATTGGTACAAAAACTTTTGGTTTTTAATATATCATTTTGGATTAAATGAAATGTCCAAATACTCATTAAAATTAAGTATTAAAATGAACTTATTAAGATTCAAGTCCCAGGGGCTGGAGTGAGAGTCCAGCAGGTAGGGCATCTGCCTGCACACTGCTAACCTGGGTTCTATTCCTGGGACCGCATATGATCACCGGAGCCTGCCAGGAGTGATCCCTGAGCGCAGAATCAGGAATAAGCCATGAACACAGCCACGGGTGCTCCACTGCTGCCCACCCCACCCAAAAGAAAAAAGATCCAAAGTCCCTACAAGACTCTTCCTGTGTGGGGCTGGACCGATAGTACAGCGGGTAGGGTATTTGCCTTGCACGCCGCCGACCCAGGTTCGATTCCCAGCATCCCATATGGTCCTCTTAGCACCCAGGAGTAATTCCTGAGTGTAGAACCAGGAGTAACCCCTGAGTACCACCAGGTGTGACCCCTCCCCCAAAATAAAGACTCTTCCTGTGTGCCCAGGAAGAGATCATCCACCTGCAGCTGGAGATGATGGCTCTTATAATTCCGCTCAAAGAGAATACAACGTTTTCCTCGACTCTTAAAGAAGCGCCTTAGTGTCTTCTTGTACTTCTCCACCTCCTCCACGACCTCTGATGAAAGCTCCACCACTGACTGGTAGTGTCCAATGGGCAGGATGAGGACATGGTCAGCAGACAAGCCTCCTTTAGCCAGGGCAAGGTAGCACTGAAGAGGAAGCAGAGAGTCAAGATATCAACAATACTGCATAGAATTCTTTGGCAAGAAAAGTCTGCGAAAACAGAAGGGGTGGAGGGGGAAGAGAAGACCATAATTATTAATGCCAGTGCTGACATTTCATTGTTTTCATTATTTGGTTGTGCTGAAAAACTCTTACCTCTTGGTCCATTTCCCCAAACTAAAGCACCCCACCCCGAGGAGGTATTGCAATAATCCAGCACCCTACCTGCTGTACTATCTCTCCAGTCCCTCTGAAGACATTTTTTTTTTTAGGAGTGACCCCTGAGCACAGAGCTAGGAATGCTAGGGGCTCATGTGCAGTACCAGAGTCTAGATCAGGGCTAGTCTGGTACAAGGCAAGCAACTTCACCCCTACATTATTCCTCTGGCTCCAACAACAGAAACTTTTGTGTCTTTATGAGCCATACCCAGTGCTCAGGGCTTACACCTGGCTCTGTGCTTAGGGGAACTTCTGGCAGTGCCCAGGGGACCACATGGAGTGCCAGGCATAGAACCAAGTAGGGTGCATACAAGGCAAGTACCTTACCCTCTGCCCTCCCTCTCCAAGCCTTAAGAACAAAAACATTTTTTAACATAATAAGCAACAGAGGACTCCCATTTTTAGAAAATGTTTGAAATAGTAATAACAACAATTTATCATCCTCCAGTTGTATAAACTAAAACATAACAATGAAAATGTCTATAAAGCATCATTCTAGGAAATCCATACCTATCTGTCAGGGAGGAAGAAATGGAGAGACCCACCTTGTGGCCCTGTACAACCTCAGCAAAGTTATTATAATCCAAAGAAAGACAGACCCTAACAAGCGTTGGCAAAAACATGGATAAATGGGAATCCTCATACATGGCTGTACATCATCATAAAAACAGGAGTCATCAAACTCTGATTGATGGCTGAGCTATTGGGAAATAGTTTGGTAGTTTCTTAAAAAAGTCAACCTTACAGTTACCTGCAATTCCATCCTAGAAGTCTATCCAAATTAAAATAATGTCCAAAGACTGGCATAAAAAATGTTCATGGCAGCATTATCCCTAATAGCCAGTGAAAGTCCAAACAGCCATCAAATGATGACTGTATATTCAATGTGATGCAGTCGTATAACAGATCACTATTTGACAACAAAACGGAATGAAATACTGAGATAGGCTAGAGAAGCCTTGAGAACTTCACGCTAAAAGAAGTGAAAACTAAAACCAGCAACTGTACAGTTACAGGTCAATTTTATGGCATGAATTATGAAGATAACAAAAATAACAGGATATCCTGCCTCTGTAAATGATCCATGGAAGAAACTCACGTGTGTGCCAATGTTGACCACCAAATGCTTCTCCACTTCGGGGCTGGCAAGGCAAAACCAGCAGGGTCCTGGAGGCTGAGCTTCATGTGAAAAGAAAGCCAAATGTTACTACACTACAGCCAAGCCTTCCTCCATTCCATCACCCTACATAACTGAGGCTTGATTTGGGAGAAGGGGGTCGGGTCATAGCCTGTGTCTCAGTGACCATCCCTGGCTCAAAGCTCAGGAAGGACGCCTGTTTGGGGAACAGCGTTTCGAACCAGGGTCATAGGCACCACTGCTGCAATCCACGTAAATGCTTTCCCTCCTGTCTGTCTCTCTGATCCAACTGAGCCCTACGGCCTGCGAAGGCTACTATGCAGCACCGCCACAACAACAGAGCCGGTGGTGCTTCCCATTGTGACCCACTCCCACCACCAATGAATGGCTGCTTCAGGTGAGGAGACTTGCTGTCCTTGCCTGTCGAGGAACGTTTCCTTCCCTGCTTTTCATTTAAATCAAAGAATCAATGAACTAACACTCCATTAGCAAAGCTCTGAATTTGGGGGGATTTGATGGGGGCGTGGGGGGGGGGGTCAACTGACTAAAGAAGCATGGTAAAGGCTACAATGAAAGAACACTAAACTAAGTATCAGGAACCCCAGACATATAGCACTTGGCACGATTTAGCAATGTATGACTCCGTGTAACCATCTTCCGTCCCAAAATCAGCATCTGCATCTTTGAACCATGAGGATGGAGAAAGGATCTGAATGAAACAGCCTCAAGTTCTTCCAACCAGTGGGGCTCTGCTGCTATTTTATTTACCTACCCCAGGAGGCAAAGGTAGGAAGGAAGGCCCTTTTCTCATCACTGTTAAAGCACGGACTCAGACAGCCCCAAAGTCATCTGTGAAGTCTCTTTACTCTGGGTCCCAGTGACAGACTGTAAAAATCTCCTCTGCCAGGAGAGGTTCTCCTAGCGATGATGCATCCCAAACGAGCCTCAAAGTGACCATCATGACTGACAATGGAGACTGCGGAATCAGGGGACTTACGAGGCTTGCGAGGCTGCTTCGGGTGAGGAGACTTGCTGTCCTTGCCCGTCGAGGAACGTTTCCTTCCCTGCTTTTCATTTAAATCAAAGAAGAATTGGCAGGCTGATTCTTCCTGCAATGGCCAAAAGCAGAAGGGAAACTGTGATTAGACTAACCCTTAGGGAAGCAGCCAGCCATTCAGACAAGGAACATTCCTGCCACGTTCTTCCTATCTCTCAAAAGGGCTACAGGCAGTCCAACAGTGTGAACATGTCAAACAGTCTAACTTCAGGAGCTTTATTTGAAAAGATGAGACGGCTGCTTACAAAGGAAAAAGTAAAATCTCAGAAGCAAACCAGGCATGCTAGAGAGGAATTCTAATGTTCTTGCTAAGGGGAAATATTAATTTTAGAAAAGCCTGCTATAAAGAAATTCCTCAAGAATAAATCTTATTTACTGACTAGAACTCATTATATGACATCATAAATTACATTGCTTAAGCAATTGGATTCTTGCCTTAAAAATGAAGAATAATCAACTTTATACAAAGACAGAACATAGGAAACAACCCCAACATGTGGCTCAAGTTTAGACAATGTTTTTTAACATATGAAAATATTATCTCTAAACCACAATTAAAAACAAAAAAATCACTGAGCTTACTTAGAATCTACGAAGTTTTTTTATACATTATTTGGATTTTCCAAGGATAAGAATAACTAAAATTCCAAGGATTAAACTTACCTTATGATGTAATTTCTAAACTAGGATACCTGTAATGGATAATCCTACCCAGAAAATGCCACTCACTTCTCAACCAGAACATACCTCTGGGGCAGGAGTTTGCTTTCCAACAGATGCTTCCTTCCCAGATTTTCTGTAAGGGTTTTCAGTGACATCTGGAGGTTGTTTGACCAGTTCTGTTGCATCCATTAGTTTCATCGGAACAATACTGAATGCATAAAGATACTTTGGAGAAAAAAATGGCACAATATAAGGGAAATTCTATTTATCCAAATATAACCAATCCAACATACTGTGAAAATCTCATAGAAAACTTTGGAAATTGAGTAAAATTGAAAGAACAGTGACTATCCACTCTATGGCTCAGAGAATATAGTAAATCAAATGTCAGTTCACTGATTTCTGTATGAGGCAACCAAAGGCTGACAGAGCTACAAGCAATAAATCGAAGATTCAGGTCTTAAACAACATGCCTAGAGGTACTTGCTCAGTAGCCCTTGGATGCTTCTGTGTGAGACCTTGAACTATGCATATTTCATCAACGGACTCAAGAGGAAAGCAGAGGAAGGAGTACAGATACTGTGAAACACTCATGGGTCACTGGGGGTTCTACTGGAAGGTCAAGGTAGGTAGCAGGTGCTATACTAAAACCTCAGGCAATCTCCCAGCTGGGGTGCTGGGCTTCACCACAAACCAGAACTGAGAATCAGGGATGGTACTGCCATTCATTTCTAATGAAAAGTAAATGGGACAACTTAGTGCTTCCCTGATATACGATACAATTTTTGCTATACATGCTGGTAAGTTAGCTTAGGAACTAGTATTTAAAAACTAAATAGAACCAAGGAAATAGATGGGGGGGGTTGTGGTAGCAGAATGGTGGGTTCACTTGGGGCTGTTCCTGGAGCATCCCTCCAGGGTCATTCCCAGTGTTTCTCAGAGGACTATGCGATGCTGGAGATTGAACCCAATCTTGCCCCATGCAGAGTAAATGCATAAGTCCTTTGAACGATCTCACTGGCTTGATAACAGGACTGACAGAGATACTGTTAGGGGATATGACAATATGTTCAAATCTCAAGACAGAGAAATGCAGCCAGTTTTTGAAATGAAATTATTGTTCATCATATTGGCAAAAACTTTAAAAATTTTACTATGGAGCTGGAGAGATAGTAGGGCACTGGGCTTGCACATGGCCCACCCTTATTCCATCTATAGCATCCCATTAGGTTCCTCAAGCACTCACCAGGAACATCCTGAGTACAGAGCCAAAAGTAACTCCTGAGCATTTCCATGTGTGGCCCAAAAACAAAAACAAAATTTGACACTGGAGGCCAGAGAGCTAGTACAGCAGGTAGGGCACTTGCCTTGCACACAGCTCACCCAGGTTCAATCCTAGTACCCCATAGGGTCCCCTAATCCCTGCTAGGAGTCATTCCTCAGCACAGAACCAAGAGGAAATCCTGAGCATTGCCAGGAGTCACTGAAAAACAAAAACAAAAGCAAAAAAAAAAAAAATTGACACCAACCAGTGACGATGTGGCTAGAGTAGGAAAGAAAGCAAAAAGACAGAGATATTATACACTTCCAGAGGTGGTGTAAACTAAAACAAAAAGTTGAGATAAGTTTAATAAGGCTTGCAAAAGTTTAAAATGTGTCTAATAACAGGCCAGAGAGTACAGTAGATAGGTAAAGCAATTGCCTTGCATGAGCAGACCTGGGGTTCAGTCCTCAGCACCCCATATGATCCCCTTTGTACTACCATGAGTGATTCCTCAACAAAAAGCCACACGTAAGAGCTGAGCACTGCCAGGCATGGCACAATAACAAAAAGAAAAAGCGCATACTCTCAAGTATGAATTACACACCACTCAGGCTAATAAGTCCTGATAGCAAAAGCACAGAATGCAAAAATTACCATAAGCACTATTGCACATTTGAAGGTTAGAGGGGAAAAAAATACAAATCTAAACTCGCTATGAATGCACTGGGCTTAAAGGCTTAAAGTGTTATGGGGATAAAAGAAACCAAATATATCTTTCCTTATATTTTGTGCATAATTGTTCATTAAGGAAGAGTAATTTTCAGATTTATTTATCTGCTTATTTTTCCAGTTGACTACTGTTCTGATCTTAGCTCACTGAATTCACAATATTCTCCTTTTGTCTCTCAAAAACTAGAAATGCTCAGGAAAGTGAGATATATAATGTACTTTGATATTGTATTATTTTTCATTCTCCTGTACTTTTTTCCAATATAAAACCAAATTCCATGTGTCACTAAAATTTCCTAGAGCACAGAAAGATTAGGGAAATCCTCAGGAGGACTTTATCTTTGCTAAATGAAGCTTGTAAAGGAAGCAAGAGCTAAGGGGAAATTCAGGCTGGGGATATAGTTCCAGTGATCGGGTGTATGCTTTGCAAATGTGTGGCACTGGGCTTGATCACTGGGACCACACATTCTCCCTCACTCTCCTTCCCCCAAGCCCAAGTAAATAATTATGGGCAAACTCCCGCAGGCCCATAGATGATCATATGAAGGTGGGAAGAGAGGAAATTCATTCATTTGAAAATCTGCTTTTGGAGCCGGAATGACAGTACAGCAGGTAAGGCATTTGCCATGTACATGTCCGACCAGTTCGATCCCCAGTACCCTATAAGGTTCCCCCTCCAGGAGTGATCCCCAGCACTGAGCCAGGAGTAAGCCCTGAGCACAGTCAGGTATGGCCCAAAAAGAAAAGAAAAGGAAATCTGCTTTTATGCCACAGGACCTATTTTCCCCAACCTTTCTCTATAATCTCCCATAAAGGACACAAGGAATATGACATCATCACGTCTTCACAAAGGAGTCACTGAGGTGCCCCACAGCATGCTGGAGATGGTGAAAGAGAAGATTCAAACCCTCGACTGGGCAAGAGAAAACAGTTATCAGGTAGACAATGAAGATGAAATTTCCAAATATCACCAAATACTCAAATACCTTTTTCTTTTCTGGATTTCCAACATTTGCCAGAGCTATATATCTGGTGGCATGTTGTGTACTTTCCTGCAGAACGATGTGATTTCTAGAACACAGGCGAAAAAAAAAAAAAGAGTTAGCAGCAAACTTCACCCCTGCTTTACAATTACGAACTATCTAAGCTCCAGGGAAAGCCCAGTCCCTGAACCTGTTTCCACCAGAAACAAAATTTCAATTGTTTCCTATCTCTGGTAAATTAATCCTCAGAGGAAAAAAAATAAAAACATGATCAAAAATACAAAAACTCCAACTTTTGGTTCAAGTGTTAGAAGCTGACAAACGTTGATAATATGGGGTGGCAATTTTAGTTGATGGATACAAGAGAATTCATTATATTACTCCCTCTCATATTTAAAAAGCTAAATAATAAAAGTCAGAAGGAAATAATTTTTACATGAAAAAAAATGTGTCCAATATTCACAGAGAATGATTCCATTTTTCTAGGAAAAATATCAAATACTGAGTATCAGGTCAAGGAGATAGGTCAAGTGGTAGAGTACTTGCCAAACTTATACAAGGCCCTGAATCTGATCCCCAGCATGGCGCTCTCAAAAACCCCAAGCAAAATTGTCATGGCCCCTGGGTCACAGGGAGAAACGTTAGGCACCTCAGAACAATCCAGGGTGTGGACTCGATTTAAAAAAAATACTCGAGTGGGGGCTGATACAGTCGGTCAGGCATTTGCCTTGCACATGGCCAGCCCAGGTTGGATCCCTGGCATCCCTCATATGGTCACCTGAGTCCCACCAGGAGTGATCCCTGACCTCAGAGGCAAAAGAAAACCCTGAACACAGCCAGGTATGGCCCCCAAAACAAAACAAAACAAAACAAAAAAGTCAAAGAGAAATGAAAATTTAGAAAAATCAGTCAATTTCTATTTCAATCACCATTTTTTAGAGAAAAGTGGAAGAGCTGGACAGGGAGAGCACTCAAATGGATAAAAGATGCTTTGTAAAACAGGAGGCCCGGGATCAACACCCACACTTCTGGGTTCCCCCAAACACTGCCAGGAATGGCACCAACAAAAAACACACCAAAAAAAAAAAAGAAGTGGAAGAGAGGGGTAGATGAGTTAGAGAAACTGAAAGACTTCTGAAGTGATTATACTGAAAACTGAGTTCTCAAAGTTGGCTTGACCTGATCAAAACAGGATTGACTATGCTACCTGGAGTTTTGATGTTTCCATAGTATTAGTACCTTGGATCACTAAAGTACTTCATGTAGGATGATGCCCTTAAACTGGAAAAATTGAGGAGTTCATTATCTGAGTAACTAAAAAAAGGAACTATAATGTTATATGGCCAAAATAAACACAAGAAATTTCCATAAAAGGTCCAAGGCAAATTCTTTGGAAAAAAAAAAATCAGTAAGAACAAACATACCACTCACCGATAAGGAAGCCTCTCGTAATAAGCCTTTTCCAAAGCAGCAAAATGATACCTTGGTTTCAAGCTTGTTGCAAGACTGGAGACCAAAGAAGAGCCACATTTTTTGGTATCCACTTCTCCCTAGTAAACAAAAGCCGAGTCATTTCAACAGTCCTCTGAAGTAATAAGAATCAAAGAAATAACAAGAGACTTGAAAACATCTTTGAAATCCGTTTGTTTATGGAAACAAGTGTGGTCAATAGTATTTGCGCAGTGAATCCCTTACATGAGGCAAATAGAGAAATCTCAAATACTTTATGGGAAGGAGAATATTCGATGTAGGCTAAACTAGGAATAATTACTGGAAGGTAAGGTAAGCCTCCATCTTAACTGTCAAAACAGTGCTTATGTTTGGGAAAGTAAGCTTTGTCTCGGAAGCCCATACACTAGGACTCTCTAACTTCTATGTTGTGCTCCTGGAGGTGTGACAATACAGACACTATAGATAATGAAAACAAAAAGTCAGTTTGCAGGGCCTTAGAGGAGGGATTAGTCATGGGGTGGGACAGTCAAGAACTTCCCCTCTAAACATGCAATCCTTTAAATCAAGAAAGGCATGGTATATGGGAGAACAAATTATATCCTTGTTACAAAATTCAAAATACGGTTTGTACAAAATGAGGCTTGAGGGGTGGGGGAGATGGCTCAAAGTGCTGTAGCAACAGGGATTCGATTCCTGACACTGCACAGTCCCCACACTCCCTGCACGCACTCAGGGAAAGTAGCACTGCCCTGTAGCACTGTCCTCCTGTTGTTCATCAATTTTGCTCAAGTGGGCCCAGTAATGTCTCCATTGTGAAACCTGTTACTATGTTTGGCATATCGAATATGTCACAGGTAGCTTGCCAGGCTTTGCTGAACAGGCGAGATACTCTCGGTAGCTTGCCAGGTTCTCTCTCCGAGAGGGGCAGAGGAATTGAACCCGGCTCGGCCATGTCGGCTGCGTGTAAGGCAAACACCCTACCTACTGTGCTATCACTCTAGCCCATGGTCCAAAAACCAAAAAATAAAAGAAAAAAAATCAGGCTTGTTCCCAAAACTTCCTTAGTTTTCATTAACAACAAACTGTGTGTCTCTTATCTGTAACATTACTTATGAAATCTACGAGAAGGAGCACACTGAAGATAAAGAAGTTTCCAAAGTTAATTTTCCACTAAGTAAAGCAAGAGCTTGCTTTTGTGCACTTAGGATCTCTGCTAAAGAGCTTGGCATTGGCTTGGAGGTAAGCTGTCTTTTCAGCAGTGAACAATAAATATTACCCTACCCTGAAGAGAGAGTGCAGGAGTTAGAGCACTTGCCTTGCATGCAATGGATCCTGCATTACACCCACAGCAACAGCAGAATGTGGGGAAAGGGAAGAGATTTTTTTTTTAAGTTTTAGTAGACAAAACCTGCACAATACTGAATCAAAGCAGGGACTAGTACTGACACTGGATGTAAAACCATTCGCTGAAAATCGGTGAACTGTCAAAACTTATTAAAAGGAAGACAAGAGAGGGGCCGGAGCAATAGTACAGTGGGATGGGCATTTGCCTCTGCATGTGGACGACGGGGGTTCAATCCCTGGCATCCCATATGGCCCCCCAAGTACCACCAGGAGTAAGTTCGTAGTGTAGAGCCCGGAGTAACCTCTGAGCATGGCCGGGGGTGACCCAAAAAGCAAATAAATAAATAAATAAATAAAAATAAGAGGAAGATTGAGAGAGGGCACTTGAAGTGGAGAACATTTACAGAACCAGACCTTTTTGTTTTGATTTTCTGTAACACGTGGTGATGCTCAGGGGTTACTCCTGGCTCTGCACTCAGGAATCACTCCAGGAGTACTGGGGATAAAACTCAGGTGGGCAGTGTGCAAAGCAAAAGCCTTACCCACCATACTAGCTCTCCAAGATAGGAGCAATCTCATCTGTGAACTATGCTTTTCCTAAGATTAAATTTAGTTTTATTTAATTTTCTAAGATTCCTCTGAATCAATTTGTTCATTTTTTTAAAATTAACTTCAATTTTGGGTTTAGTCAGTTCATATAACTTTAAGTTCCCTGAAAAATATCAAGCATCCTACTAAAAGGTACGAAGAGCAAAAGACCCAATCTAAAGAGCGAAACAGCCCCACGTAGTTTACTTTTAGAAATTCCAACCAAACAAGCACTACTCACAGAAGAATTCCCAAAGTTTCCCACGTACTTGGGCCATGGGGATGTAAGCAAGATATCAACTCCCTTGAAGCCGGGTGCTGAGCACAGCGTGTCTCTCAGAGTCGCCATGTCGTTGGCTGTGAAGCTGTATGCCGGAGCCGGCTCGCTCAGGGCCTCCATCCCGCTGAGGTACACAATCTGCAGCCCCGAGCTCCCAGTGAAGACGCCCTTACGCCCTGGGGTCACAGGAAAACAGACAAGGTTTTAGTCAGACCTGCAGAGAGAAATGGTTGTTAGGAAGACAAATTTCCCTCTCCTATTCCCTGACCCTCTCCAAGGCCTGGATGATGCTCCCTTTCAGGCCGCAGCCTCAGAACCCAGGTCCCACAACAGTACACTGGCTTGGGGATAGGCAGGCTGTGGGAGCCCAGGGGTTGGAGCCTCACTCAGCTGCCATCCAGAAGGAAGACGAAGGGAGAACTATCTCAAAAAAAAAAAAAAAAAAGCATCCTGGGGCTGGAGAGATAGCACAGCGGGTAGAGCGTTTGCCTTGTACATGGCCGACCCGGGTTCGATTCCCAGTATCCCATATGGTCCCCTGAGCACCACCAGGAGTAACTCCTGAGTGCAGAGCCAGGAGTAACCCCTGTGCATCGCCAGGTGTGACCCAAAAAGCAAAAAGAAAAAAAAAAAGCATCCTGCCACTGGGGTAGGAGCAACAGTACAGAAGTACAGCAGGGAAGGCACTTGCCTTGCATGTGGCTGACCCAGATTCAGTTCCTGGTACCCCATGGGTCCCCCCATCCCAGCCAGCATTAAACTCTAAGCACTGCCAACGTGTGGCAAAAAAAAAAAAAAAAGCTTTCTGCTATCAGAGGAGACACTACATGGATGAAAGCGACCCAGACACCTGTACACAGGGCAAAGCAATGAGAAGCTTTGCAGACCATCCACATATCGGATTTATGGATGTCCTGATTATTTCTTTACTCTCTTAAGGAAGCTGGGTCCTAGAACAGATGCACTCCTCATGCAGGTGGGGCTTTCAACTGAAGGAAAACGTGTGGAAAGAGCAACTGAGAGGGGAGCTAGAGCAATAGTACAGTGGGTTGGGTATTTGCCTTGCACCCAGCTGACCCAGGTTCGATCCCCAATATCCCATATGGTCCTCCAAGTACTGACACAGTGATTCCTGAGTGCAGAGCCTGGAGTAGCCCCTGAGCACTGCCAGGTGTGACAAAGAAAGAAAGAAAGAAAGAAAGAAAGAAAGAAAGAAAGAAAGAGCGAGCAACTATTTGGGAACAATTGGGTGTCCCCTCTTCTAAATTTAGTCCTGCCTTATGACCTTGATCCCAAACCTTCCTGTTACCTCCAAGACTCAGATCCATCAACATTTTTTTTAATTTTAATGACTTTATTGATACTGGAGTTAGTGATCTTATTACTAAAATAGCTTTTATGCACATCATTTTTTCAAGTATTGTGAAGATATACCAATTAAAAGTAGAGTTTTAAGCCTTTTAATGTAAGATATAAGTAATGTGGTTCAATCTCATTATACTTATACTAATAGTATTTGTAATAAAGAACAGTTTAAACTTATGGAATGAGTAGATTATGTTAATATTTTATCAATAATCTGTTGAAGCTCTTATATTTTACCATTCATAAAATTGTAATTTAGTTAACATTTGTGTACCTTTCTTATAATCAATTTTTCGGTTTTTTTTTTTCATTTTTATTAGTGAAACACCATGAGGTACAGTTGTAGACTTGCAAGTTTTTGCGCTTGGGTTTAGATCCATCAACTCTTGCCTCCTTTACACCGACTGTCCTCTTACAGAAGACAGTCAGGTGAAAGTGACTGAGAATAAAGCACTGAATCTAAGCTCTGGGAGTTGAATGTGAGAATATCATATTCTCTTCTTAAAAGAAACAGATAAACTACCATATGTACGTAAGAAAAGAACACTCATACTGGGAAAAAAGTAGCACATACGATGAAGTGTCCTCTTCAGTTCTAAATTTCTCATGAGAATGCTTAGTTTCATCTCTGAATTAGGTCATCAACCCACTGCAATCTAGCTTCTGAACATTCTCTCAAAAGTCACTAGTAGCCCATAATTACCAAAACTATTCTCTCTTCACTCAGATTCTATAAAACTGACAATATCTATAACTCTCCAAACACCCCTCTGGGGCCCAGGAGATAGTACCGGGGAGAGCATATACCTGGTTATATATACCTGGAGAGAATATACTGGGTTGTACAAACTGAGCAAAAGGGTGAGACCACAAAGGAAAAAATGTGACCTTCATAAGGATACAGATACTGACATTAGAAAAGAACTCTACCCCATTTTCTCAGAAGCTGTAGAAGAATCTAGTCACCAATCTTCTGGATGACTAGTTCCTGGGGAAACCTTATTATGTTCATGACAAACACACAAAAGATGAACTTACCCAGGTAAGTAATGTTCTCGGCTAATTCACATCCGTTGGGATCCTCAAAATATTTTACTGTTTCCTGGTTATTGGCACCCAACACATATGTCTGAATAGGGGCTGGTAAGGGGAAACAAACAGGACACTGCATGACTACAAGATCTCCCTGGGAGTTGAGAAATCCTCCCCCCGCCCCGCCCACCTCCACTCCATGAAAAATATTCATTCCTAGCAAAAGCCGAGTCTGGAATTCTGAATGTGGAATCTGCTCTCCATTTGGGGTACCCCACATCCACCCCTCCAACTGAGGAGTGCCAGCTTAAAGAGAGGTTAATATAGCATAAGGAAAAACATAGACCATATAGAGTCTAATTAAAGACAATGAAAGCAAGGGGACTAGAGAGAGAGTGCAGCAGGTGGGGTGCTAGCCTTACATAGGACTGACCCTGGGTTGATCCCCAGCACCTGATATGGTCTGTCACGCCCACCAGGAATGATCCGTGAGCACAGAGCCAGGACTAAGCCCTGAGCACTGTGGGTGTGGTCCTACCTAACCCACCTCCACACCAAAAAAAAAAAAAAAAACCCAAAACCCTAAAATTGAAAAAGGAAAGAATGCATACAGTTACACTGTTAAATGTCTTCCTACTGAGAAGAACAATATTTTTCTGGAACTAAATTCAACCAAATTCAACTGAATATGCAAACATTTATATACACATACATTCCTGCCAGCATAACACAGAGCTCAAAGGGAAATCCTTAATAACTGACTCGTGTGAAACATCCACAAAGCAGTGAGTGGCCTTTAAACTTTTGTTAGAAAAATCACTTGTTGAACTGGAGAGAGAGCAGACACCTGCCTTGCCCCGGGTTCAATCGCCAGTACTGCATATGATCCCCCACGGCCTGCCAGGAGTGATCCCTGAGCACAGAGCCGAGAGCAAGCCCTGAGGACCACCGGGTGTGGCTCAAAAACAAAACAAATGAAGGAAATCATTTATTAAGTAAAGATCATTTCTGTACCTTTCTTGATGCCAGTTTTATAATCCTCCCATTCAGTCTCTGAGGCGGAGCCAAAGAAATTTCCTACACACAACAGCAGCTAAAATGAGTTTTTTAAACATGTGTAAGTTTTTTTTTTTAAACAACACACAGAAAATTGACAGTAACATTATTTAGCTTTCATACTAGTTAATGGTCTCAAACCCAGTAATTTGCAGTATGTCAATGTATAAGTTTTTAACAACAGTGAGTAAGAAGTCTGATTCCATAAATTACTAAGCTTCACTGAGCCAGAGAGTACAGGGTTAAAGTGCTTGCCTTGCACAGAACCAAGACCCTCCCTCCAATCCCCAGTAGCACTTACAGTCCCTGGACACACCCAGGAGTGACTGCAGAGCAGTCAGGAAGCCCTGAGCACTGCCAGCTGTGTCCCTCCCCGACAAAAATTTTAAACTAAGTAACTGCTCAGTGAGTCAAATTGTGATTGATGATAAAGAGTAGGTCAGGGAGAGGTAAAGAAATGAACCCTGAAGAATCCTTCTGGGAAAAACAAAACCTTTAGACAATGGGGGGACAGAGCACTAGCAGAGTGGGTAAGGTGCTGGCCTTGCACGTGGCTGACCTGGGTTCAGGCCCCGGCAACCCATATGGTTCCAGGGAACACCGTCAGGAGTGATTCCTGAGTGCAGAACCAGAAGTAACCTCTGTACACTGACAAGTGTGGCCACCACCCTCCAGAAAAGCTTTAGACATTAGGGGCTGGAGTAATAGCACAGAGGGTAGGGCATTTGCCTTGCACGCAGCCAACTGGGGTTCAATTCCCGGCATCACACGTGGTTCCCTGAGCACCGTCAGGAGTAATTCCTGAGTGCATGAGCTAGGACTAACCCCTGTGCATCGCTGGGTGTGACCCAAAAAGCAAAAAAAAAAAAAAAAAGCTTTAGACATTACACACCTTGAGAGATTAAGGCACAAAAGACTATTTCCTGGGCAAGAGAGATAGTACAGCAGGTAAGGAGCTTGCCATGCAAATGAACAACCTGGGTTGGATCCCCAGCACCCCACATGGTCCGCCAAACCCTGGCAGGAGTGATCCCTGAGCAGAGCTAGGATTAAGCTCTGAGCACAGCTGGGTGTTGTCCAAAACAAAACAAAAAGACATTTCCTGTATGGTGTCTTCACCCAACCTTTAGCCCAGTGAACTAATTAATTCCTAGAATATTTTTGCTACTTTTGGGGAGGGACAGGGGAACCTGGGGTAATGTTGGGGACAGAATCCAGAGCCTCAGGCATGCAAGGCAAGTGTTCTCTGCTGAGCCACCTTTACAGCCCTGAGAATACTTTCCTGTACTTCGATAGTTTACAGTCTAATAAACAACCACATGTGGCTCTTTCTTTTTTTCTTATCTGACTTAATCCAGAATGAGAAGTAGATCAGTGCTTTCCCAAATGTCATCATGTAGGGAGGTTTCACTAGTCTATTTTCGGTATTGTGTAAGGTACTACAGTAACAAGATTCAAATTTAGAAAGGATAAAATGTTGGGTCTCCCAAATCCAACACTCTATAGTCGCTAAGATCCTATGCTCACAAAAGGAACTCAGATAAGAGTGTGTATTCCACAGAGAAATCAATCAAAAAGCCCAAATTTCAAAATGCTCGCTAGAACCTTAAAACCAAATTCAGTAAAAAGAAACATCTTACATCGAAGTCTCCACTTTTCTTTTGAATTGCTCGCACTCTATTAAATAAAACATCAAACTTTCCTTCAACATCTCCACAAGCCAACCTGCAAACGAGAGAGAAAAGTTAAGGCTTGGGCCTGTGGGCTGTGGGTCAGGTCCAGGGCAGGGGATCTGGTCTCTTGGAGGGTCAGCGCAGACGAACTTGCACTGGGCAGTGGGCAGCTCCTTCTAAAGGTCGCATAAACACCTTCACCCCAACATATGTAGCTTATTATCTGGGAAATACAGAGAGAGAGAGAAAGCTACATGCTTCCCTCAGTGAGAAGACTGGATTCTCAGAGTAGAAAAGCCCTGAGTAACCACCCGGGGGGGAGCTACACGTGGATATTTTCCATAACCACCTCTGTCCCAAATTCTTTGAAACACGACAAAGATTCTCCTGGGGAAAAGCACTGAGCTTTGGGTGGTCCGTTCTTCTTTGTTGTTATTTTCTGGTTTGGGGCAACACTCATTGGCGCTCAGATCTTAGTCCTGGCTCTGCACTCCGGGATGGGACTTGGGAACAAACAATATGGGGTACCAGGGGTCAAACTCGGGTCAGCCAGTGTGTGCAAGACACCTACACACTGTATTATTACTCCAGTCCCTTGGTGGCCCATTTTTGAGCTTCTTCATTTCTATTTTTGAGTGGTGCTCAGAGGTTACTCCTCAGGAGTCCATATGTGGTACCAGGGATCAAACCCAGGTCAGCTGCATGCAAGGCAAATGCCTATCTACTGTACTATGGCTCTGGCCCCATTCTTGAGTTTCGTTGTAGCCTTTGTCCCTGCATTCTTGATGCCGGCCCTCCCAGAGATCCAGCCCGGCACAGGACCTGAAATTCTGTATCACAAAAGCTTTTTCTGGACTCCTGAGGTGGGTCTTCTGTCCCAACGGCCTTCACATCTCTGGGCTGGTTTAGGTTCCAGACGGCTTTCTCCAGCATACATTTCCAGTGCCCCCTTCCCCTTTCTGAGCTCTCTGCCTGCAACATAATCAAACTACCTCCAAGTCCTACTGATTTCATCTCCTGCATAGAATCCCCACATTTTTTTTGTACTCTATCTATCCCTAGTTGCCATCATCTACTTTGACTCTCATTTATTCTCCCTGGAGCTGCCAAAACAGTTTCCGGAATAAAAAATCTACTCTGCATTCTTAAACATGCCTATTTTCTTTCTTTTTATAGTTTGTTAAATTTTTAATCACCCTTGAATCACAGTGTTAGAAAGTTACTCATTATTAAGTTTAAGACATCTAATGTTCCAACACCAATCACTTTACCAGTGTCCACTTCCCTCCGCCAACGTCTGGGGTTTCCCTCTCGTTCCCCAGCCTGCCTCTAGAGCAGGCACTGCTCCCCTCCTTCATTGACCCAGTGTTCCTTCCCTAATTTACTTTGGGAAGGAACCTCCCCACCTCCAATCCAGTGGCAAGCTTCCTACTGAAGGTCTCCTGCTCTCCATTTTTTATTGCCTTTGGGACTTTATTATTCTCTCACGAAGTTTCTTTATATCCCACATATGAGTGAGATCACTCTGTACATGTTCCTCTCTCTCTGACAAACTTCACTCAACATGATACTCTTCAGGTCCACCCCCATCAAGCAGCAAATTGCATGACTTTATCTTTTCTTACTATTGAGTACTATTCCATCGTGTGCCATAGTTTCTTTATCCGGTCATCTGTTCTTGGGTACTGGTTGTTTCCAGATCTGAGCTATTGTGAACAGTGCTGCAATGAACAAAATAAGTGAAAAATATCTTTTCTGGAGTGGAATTTTGGATCTTCGGGATATTTCAAGGAGAGGGATTGCGTATGGAAGCTCAACTGCTTCTTTTTTGAGTAAATATTGACTTCAAAACAGGCTGTATCAGTCAACATTCCCATCAACAGGAAATGGGGGTCCCAAATTTATTGTTTTTAAACAATAAATATAATCATATTCATCGAGACTAAATCCTCCCTCCTGATTCCTCATTTTAAGCCAAATACCCCTCTTACCCACTCTCACCTAACTGCAAACCCTTTCTTGCTATCATTTATCACTGTCAAAATATTACAGGCTAATACTAAGAGGGCCCTCGTAAAGTGTATTGGGAAAAACTGACTGAACTTAAACCAGTCCCAAAACATGAAGACCACTGAAATACAGGACCCATCTGAGTAGCCTGGAAAGCTTCTGTGACATAGAAATCAGGACTGGAGCAAAGTTGGATCCCGTGACTATAGGGATAAAGTCTGATCAGGGCCTCAGAATGGACCCCCAAAATTAATTGCTTTTCCCAATGAAAAAAAAAAACCCAAGTAACTACTACTGCATCAAGAATTCCAGAGGCCAGAAAGTAAGTACAGCAGTTAAGGTAATTGCCTTGCACGTGGCAGACCCCAGTTCAATTCACTGCACCACATATAGTCTCCTGAGACAGGTGTAAGCCCTGAGCACTGCCAGACGTGGCCATAAACCAGAGCAATAGTACAGTGGGTAAAGGTGCTTGCTCTGTGTGTGGCCCACCGGGTGGGTTCGATCCCAAGCATTCCCTATGGTTCCCTGGGCATCACCAGCAGTAATTCCTGAGTGTAGAGCCAGAAATAACCCCTGAGCATCGCCAGGTGTGGCCCCCATTTAAAAAAAAAAAATCTAAAAGAAATTTCTTTCCTTGTCTTGCAAAGAACAATTCCTCATTCCAGCCAGAGTCCATGGTTCCCAGAGAACTGTTCGTGAGGACCAGTGCCCCAAGCAGAGCTGAATAAGAAGACAAAGTGTGGCTTGACAGCCACCTCCAGAGAAGGTAGAATGCCAGCCAAGGACTTCCCCCCCAGGAACCAAAGTGGGTCCGACGGAGAGAAGGAAAAAACGCTTTTCTGGAGGCGACTTCCCTCTCTCCCCACTTCACCCAAGCCACTTGCAAAAATAATTTTTCATTTACCGGAGCTATCTGGCAAATAACTTTTCCCGGACGACAGTCCCTACGAAAGTCGAAACTCCACCATCGAAACCCCTCACCCAGTGCCTGGCCCACCTCGACCGCTCAGGAAATATTTAAATGAATGAGCTCTCTTCCCTAGGCCCAAACGGTGCACCAAACGGTGCACCAAAGCAGGAGCTTCATCTGTCTGGTTTACCACGGACCAGGGCCCGTCGGTGGGTTCCGATGCTGGAAACTTTCGTTAAGTTCGGGGGGTTTCCTTAACGGAGAGGAAAGAAGCGAGAAGGAGGCGCCACCAGCCAGGGCACGCCGACGAGGGAGGAAGAAGGTTCGGCGCGGGAAGCTTCCGCTTCTCCAACGGATGGCGCGCCGTTCCTCGTTTTCGGAAGCGAAAATGGGAACGAGACCGGCCCCTGCACCCACGGAGAGACGCGACCCGAGTCCAGCCGCCGCCCCTGGCCGGCGAGCACGCGCCCATCTCCCGCCCCGAGACACCCCGCGTGCAGGTGCACGGGGCACGCGCAGGGGCATGTGCACGCGCCATGTGCACACGCACGCACACGCGCGTGCACCCCGGGCGCCCGGCTCACTGTCACTCACAGGCGCAGCGGCTGCTGAGCCATCGTACCAATGGCAATAGCCCAGCCTGGACGACCACCAGGCAGCCGGACACTCCGCAGCCGGCTCCCGGCAGAACTGAGGCGCGGAAATAAGACGTCAGCGCGTCGCAGCCCAGGAGGGTCTGGTCGCCTACGGGGAGCGCCGAGGGACAAAAACCATTCAAGAAGGTTTCCCCGCCTCTTCTTCCCTCCCCCACCCCCTTCCCCAATCCTCCCAAGGTAGACGTGAAGAAGGAGGAATGGTAAAGGAAAGGAACGGGAATAGCAAAAATAAATGAATAAATCTTAAATCGACTCGTTTGGGGTTTCTTTCAAGCCGATGAAAGCTATTGAGATGCGGGGCCGGGACGACTGTACAGCGGGTAGGGTGCTGGCCTTGCACGCGTGGGACCTGGATATGATCCCCAACATCACGTAAGATCCACCAAGCTCCCCAAGGACTGAGCCCTGAGCTCAGGAGGATGGTCTGAGCACCGCTGGGTATGGCCAAAAATTTATTTTATTGATGAAAATGTTTCTATTAAAAATCAAGCCCACCACCTTGATTATGTCTTTTCACGGAGTCTCATACATTACAGACATCGCAGGAGTTTTTTGTTTGTTTTTGCTGTTTTGTGGGAACTTTTTGTCTACTAGGTAAGAGTACTGGGTATTAAGGGAATGGATACAAAGAAGCGTTGGTTCGCAACTACTTTTGAAAATCAGGAAAGATTCACTAATAATTAACAAAGTAATAAAAATCAATCGAAACAAAACAGGTTTAAAAAAGAATCACAGGGGGCTGGAGCGATAGTACAGCGGGTAGGGCGTTTGCCTTGCACCCAGCCAACATGGCCAGCACAGGTTCGATTCCCAGCACCCCATATGGTCCCCCGAGCACCGCCAGGAGCAATTCCTGAGTGCATGAGCCAGGAGTAACCCCTGAGCATCTCCAGGTGTGACCCAAATAAATAAATAAATAAATTGGAAGGAAAAAAAAGAATCACAGGAGTCACTAGGTTAGGTGCTTGTCCAACAGGGTAGTGGACCCAGGTTCAATCTCCTGCCAGGAGAAAAGTACTGAGCACAACCAGAAAGAAAAAGGGAAAAGGGAAGAAATCACTAAGTTCTCCTTTTCTTCGCAACTCCTACAATTTTGGGGGTAAAGAGCAAGTTCCCTGACTCATAAATGTCCCTGTTTACCAGCATACAAAGCACACGTTTTTTCTCCCTACTTTTGGGTAATATGGCATAACCCAGAACTGGAGAGGAAACTGAATATTGGACTGGGTAGATGCCTCAAAGGGCGCAACTACATGGCTGGCATGCATGGTTTGATTCTGCCATACACCACCCCTGTATGCCCTCCCTAGATCAGATAGCTTGTATCCGTAAGACTCCATTGTCACCACTGGGGAGCCCCTGCCCCCCAAATGACAAGACTCAATCTTGAATAATAGTTTGAGTTGTCAAAAATGAGCTGGCAACAATTCAGTAAAAAAAAATAAAGGATATGAAGCCAGAGAGCTAGTAGGGCATTTGCCTTGATTGGGATGGGCCTGGTTTGATCCACGGCACCCCATATGGTTTCCTGAGCATCACCAAGAGTAATTCCAGAATGCAGAGCCAGGAGTAATCCCTAACTAAGCACTGCCAGGTAAGACTCCCCACCCCAACACCCCGCCAATGATACAAAAACTTTAACCATGGAATTATGTATTTACTTTACAACTTCTTTGTGAATCTGAGTCTATTCCAGTTTCTGGGGATGAAATTAACCTAAGAGGATTTAAGTTTTCTCAAGGTAGCTGAACAGGAAATGAAAATATAAAAAAGGACTCTTGGATGAATGTTGTCTTAACTTTTGACACATTCTTCTTTTTTATTATTTTTAAGAGGGTCTCCTTGGAAGACCTCCAGGCTACTTGCAAGGATGCTCAGCTTAGTGGTTACAGCCGCACAGGCTCCAATAGGAGCCTAACACTGCTCCATGGCGCATAGATTCTCTTCAGACACACCAGGAATAGTCCCCTAGGTCATATCTTAGGCGCCCAAATAAATCCCAAATCCATGACGATAGAAACTATATCAAATATCTTTTTCAACCACGATGACATAAAATTAGCATTCAACCTCAGGAGAAATATTTGAAAAATCAGAGAGATTAAACATACTCCCTAACAACCAATGGAACAAGAACATTAAAGGGTAAAAGACTGGGAAGGAGACACACTTCTTAGGATGCAAGTCCTGTCCTGTACCTTAAGAAGAGGTTCTCATACACACACACACACACACACACACACACACACACACACACACACGATACTAATGTCTGTCAGGATGGCCATACAAAATATTTCAAATCTGGTATAATAAACGGAAATTGTATTACACTAGTTCATCCTCAGAAATACAAAAGTGAATTTTATAAAAAATTGTTTCTAAGTAAAATAAAGTTTTGGTGTTTTCAAGGAGTTCATGAGAAATCAGTGAAGGAGTCTAATGTAAGAAAAGAGGGTGTGGAGCGATAGCACAGCGGGTAGGGCCTTGCATGAGGCCGACCCAGTTCGAATCCCAGAATTCCATATGGAACCCTGAGCACTGTCAGTTGTAATTTCTGAGTGCATGATCCAGGAGTAACTCCTGTGCAATGCCAGGTATGACTCAAAATGCAAAAAAAAAAAAAAAGAGAGAGAGAGAGAGAGAGAACAGTGGTCGGTCAAGTTTTAGAAAGACCATCCTGGCCGCTGCAGTGTAGAGAGTTAAGTTGAAAGAACAATTGAGAGAACCATGGTAGTATTCCATCAAAGAAGAGAAAAACCACGTTGGCCTGGCACAGAGCACAGAAAGTAACAGAAAGAGAATTAAGATTTCTTTTAGAGGGCCAGGGAACTAGTTCAAGAGGCAGAAGCACTCATGTTACTTGCTGGAGTCTCAGTTCGATCCCCGGCCCCCACCACCACCACCATCACCACCACATGGTCCCCAGGCACCCTAGCCTCATCAAGTGCCACTGATGGCTTCAGAAGCAAGAAAAAAAAAATGCAAGAACTCTTCCAGACATGGAATTAAAGACCTCAGGATCCTTCCTGGCTGTTAGCATCAGTCACAGATGAGGTTGCTTCTGAAGTTAGTATCTCATCACCCACTGCTATCTTTAGTTTGGGAGGAAAATGAAAAACAGCCTCTCTGACCCTGCACATATAAATAGGAAGACTCTATTTTTACTTTGGGCCAAACTCAGCAGTGCTCAGAGGCTCTATTCCTGGCTCTGATTCTGTGCTCAGAGGTAAGACCTGGCAGCACTCAGGGTCAGATGTGGTTGGTCACATGCAAGGTAAGCACCTTACCAGCACCCTCTCCCCTCCTCCCTATCTCTCTGGACCCAAAAAGGAAGGTATTTTATGAAATACTTTGTTTTATGAGCAGCAGCTCAGCCTCCCCACCCAACAAATGCAAACACAATACAGTTATCTTTCTCACAATTCCAAGAGGGATTCCACCATGTCAAGGATGTTATTCTTCTCCCTCTGAGTCACATGGAGAAGGGAGATATCACACAAACCACTCTTCTCTGTAACACTTCTTTCACTGGTTCTGCTCAATCTAGAAGACTCAGCCTAGAATTATTGAACATCTATCTACTGTTTGCCAAGTTTAGAAAAGCAAGTAACGGAGACTCAGAAGGTAATAAAGAGTAAAGAACAAGTTTGTTTTGCTTCCTTTTTTTAATTCACAATCTTCTCAGCTTTCAATACATTAGCATCGTGGATAGGAAAAAACAACTTTAACACAGTAACTCAAAACTCAGCTTTTTAAGAAAATAAAGTAGTAATCAACCACTACCAGAGAAAACAGGTCCCCTCACTTGATCTACTGGCAAGCCCAGGTTTATCCTGAACTGAGACTCCCTGTCCTGAATGGATGATGAAACATTCAAGTAAAAGGTGAGGAGTTGAGGTGTGAGGGACACTGCCCCAGGAGCAGCTCGGAGTAGCCACCATCCTCCAGTTTACTCCCACAGCGGGATGTCTCTGGGGCCGACAGCACAGGTTCCTTTCAAGGAATTCTGACAATTCATCAACCTCCGGATTCACATCTTAGAAAGCATTCTTCCACAATAAAAAAGACTTTGTCCCATAGTTATATGTTTTTCATCGCTTCTCCAGCTTCTTGTATTTGGCTTCTGCCGGGGAAAGAAGGGAATTAAGTCATTTTGGGGGAAGAGGAAGATGGAGGCGGTGGGGGATTTGGGCTAACCTGGTGGTGCTCAGGGATCACTCCTGGTAGGCTTGGGGGACACTAGGGTACCAGGTTCAAACTTGGGTCAGTCACATGCAAGGCAAATGCCCTACCTACTGTATAATCACTCTGGTCCCGAAGTCATATTTTAAAAGCCTGGTCTTTACAAAGGTATTTAAATCAGTATATGTAAGCCAATTTAAAGCTGCCTACGCTATTTTTTTTTAATTCCATTAGGTTTGGGCCAGAGCAGCAGTACAGCAGGTAGGGCACTTGCCTTACACATAGCTGACCTGGATTCAATTCCTATACAACATATGGTTCCCCGAGCCCAGTCGGGGTGATTCCTGACTGTAGAGCCAGTATTGAATACTGAATACCTTGTGTCTATTTCAATAGGTACCAAACTTCTTCCAGGAGGTAAAATATGGAGCCAAGAATGAAACTTAGAATCTCACACACACTGGCCATGTGCTTTACCACTTGAGCTACCTCACCGGTCTGTTTACTGTTTTGTTTTGTTTTTAAAGTACTTCTCTACATTATTTAAGATGCACTTAAATGCACTTACTTATGTAGAAGTTCAGAAGGTAGGGCACTTGCCTTGCATACGATCCCCTGTACTCCAGGGGCTTCACTTGAGCCCTGCCATTTGACCCGGGCTCAATTCCCGGTACCCCATATGGTCTCCCAAGCCCACTAGGAGTGATCCCTGAGCTCAGAATCAGGAGAAAACCCTGAGCACTGCTGGGTGTGGCCACAAATCAAGCAAACAAAAAAAAAATAAAAGTGAGGTAGCATATTGAACCACAACTGAAAGCCTGACCTTACTAACCAAACAGATTTGGTTGGGGCAATAGCCACACTTCCTAAAGCTCTGTACCCTTTAGCAAGTCACATGATCATGTCTACTCTACAGGATGAGGCTAAAATCATATACTAACTAAAGATTAAAGGTAAAGGTAAAGGTAAAGGCCCTCCCGTTGATCGTCGATTTGCTCGAGCGGGCCCAGTAACGTCTCCATTGGAGACTTTGTTGTTACTGTGTTTGGCATATCGAATACTCTCGGTAGCTTGCCGGGCTCTCCGAGAGGGGCGGAGGAATCGAACTCGGGTCAGCCATGTAGGCCGCGTACAAGGCAAACGCCCTACCCGCTGTGCTATCGCTCCAGCCCTGGAGTAAAACAACATATGTGGGGGACAAAGACATAGTACAGCAAGTAGGGTACTTGGCATGCATGCAGCCAACCTGAACTAAATACCTGCACCCCATGGTCCCCCAAATCCCACCAGGAGTGATCTCTGAGTGCAGAGCCAGAAATAAGCCCTGCACACTAAAAGGCATGCTGCTTCCCGCTCCCCCCCCCCAAAAAAAAATTAAACAAAACACAACTCTGAATATTCAGGAAAAGTTAGTTTTATTACTATAAATATGAAACTACTCACTAAGTTTGGGGAAGATTAAAACAGATGACTTATAGTCACACCACAAATAGAAACTTCCTGTTTACCTAAGGTCATACTGACCATGGGATTATCTTATCAAAATGAAACAGATGAAAATAGTTACCCAGTTTTTTTGAATATGCATCCAACTTGTAGGCTGCCTGCTCCAGAGCTGCCACTTGCTCCTCGATGGCACTGATTTGATCCAGATAAGGCTGGAGTCCAGCATCTTTAAAAACAAAGGCAGTACTGTAACCCTACCACCCAAACTGGAATTAAAGAAAGAAAAAAAAAAGGCAGCTTGAATGTTTATACAGCATCAACCAGGGTTGGAGAAAAGTGGAAAAGAGCAGTGTCTCTCCAGCTCTGCCTGACAGGCGAAGGAGGGTAATATGATTCTCAACTACTGCAAGGCAGACAGTTTAGAGGACCGTGATCAGGAACAATTCAAGACAAAGAATCTCTCATCTATCAATTTCCCTCTTTTAAAGTCCTTGTTCCTTGGGGTCAGAGCAATAGTATAGCAGGTAGTGTGCTTGTCTTGCACACAGCAAACCCAGGTTTGATGGTCTGCATCCCATAATGTCTCCTGAGCACCACCAGGAGTAATTCTTGAGTGTAGAGCCAGGAATAACCCCTAAGCATCGCTGGGTGTGGCCCTACCCCCAATCCCCAAAAAATAAAGTCCTTGTTCCTCAAACAATCTTTCCATTACTAATTCAGTTTCTTGAGTACTTTTATACCAAAAGTATTCTAGAGACAAGGAACATAATTATAAGTTAATGGAAAAGAACCTATAATCTACAACTCTAAATTAGTGTTTCCCATGGGTAGATGTTCTGATTTTGTTTACAGAGTAGCTCATTCTGGGTTTCATTGTTAAATTCATTCACTGGAAACTGATGTCCTTACTCTGCCTCCTCTTTCCAGCAATAAAATCAAAAAGAGATCCAGAAGCAGAAATAACCATACCACTCAAGCTAATGCTTGAAATGAAAGAAAGTAACTTTTACTTTGTTAAGAACACAGTACACCAAACACTCAATTATGAGTGACTTTGAAAATCATGGTGTCTTAATAAAAAAAAATTTAAATTTCAAAAAAGAAAATGAGGGCTAGAGCGATAGTACAATGGGTGGGGCATCTGCCTTGCATGCAGCAACCTAGATTGATCCCAGCTTCCCATACAGTTCCTGAGCACCACCAGGAGTGATTCCTCAGTGCAGAGCCAGGAGTAAGTCCTGAATGAGCATCACCCGATGTGGCCCAAAAACAAATGTGCCTGAGGGAAGGTATCTCAACCACCCCTTCTCCATGACCCGAAGCACAAAAGAACATTAAATACAACATGCTTAATTGTCATATTACTTACATTTCTGGTTTAAGTCCTTTAAATTTCTACTAATGTTTATTGCAATATCTTTCATTTCAAGATACTTCAGGCTGGTTAATTTATTCATATTTTCCAGGAGCTTATAGTCTTCACTGGTAGCTTTAAAATAAACAGGAGATGTGATGTTTTTAAGATATTTGTCTTAAGTCATTGGAGTTGAAATTCTATGGAGCCAGAGAGACAGTATACTGGGTAGGGTGCCTACCTTCATATGGTGCCTACCCAGTTCCATCCCCAGTACCCTGAGCCCTGCCAGAAGTGATCCCTAAGCACAAAGCCAGGAGTAAGCCCTGAGCCCTGTCTGGTATGGCCCCCAAACAAACAAACAAACAAAAAAACACATCATCTGAGGAATTGCAAATGTCGGTCAACTAGGTCATCCTTTTTAGCAACTTTTTTTTTGCGGGGGGGAGGAGGCACATGCTGAAATGTTCCTGGGGTCCCTCCCAGCTTTGTTGAGGGGACAACGTGGTGCTGGGGGCTAAACCAGAGCTCATACAGGCAGAGGTGTGCTCTGGCCCTTTAAGCCATCTCTAGGCTCAGAAACTCATTTATTAGTCTGATTCTATATTGCATTATATGCACTGACTTTCAAACCATCTGCCTGCTTCTCACTCCTCAATTCCCTTCCCTGTCCCTACTGAACGCAAATAGCCTCTCTGGCAGTTTTCCCAAAAGTCAGGCCCATTTAAAATTCTCTCCGCCTTTCTGCCTCACATCTAAACTCTGGACCTTAATACCACCCTAAGAGACAGAAGTGTTCCTTTTCTTGCCAAAAAAACAACTCTCCTCTACTCGCCCCCCTCTTCAGGAGCTGACTTCAGCCATCTCCTTTCTACGGCTTTTTCAAACTCTCTACATTCCAGCACCATCCATCTAGAAATATAATCAGGTTTCTTCCAGCCCAAAATTATTTCCCCTACTCAGCAATGCTTATCATTTGTTCAGCAAAGCAAAAGTGATTTACTGCTAACCCCTTTAAAATAGTAGCTTAGGGTCAGAGAGACAGTAGAGCAGGCAGCCGGGGTTCTATCCCCAGCATCCCAAATGGTGCCCCAAGTCCTGCTAGGAATAATTCCTCAGTGCAGAACCAGGAGTAAGCCTTGGGAATATCTGGGTGTGGCCCACAAACCAAAGATTAATTAAATAAAACAGAAGCTTATTTCATATGACCCAGAAATTCCACTTCCTGGAGCCCCAAAACATTGAGAAAATACATCTGCACCCCTCTGTGCGATATAGCACAAATTACAATAGCCAAAATCTGGAAACAACCCAAGGCCCAAGAAGATAGCCAAATAAAGAAACTATATATACAACAGAATACTACTCGGCAGTAAGAAAAGATGAAATCATGCAATTCTCAGCTACGTAGAAGGATCTGGAGAGTGTCGTGCTGAGTGAAGTTAGGAGAGGGACAGATACAGAATGATCTCTCATACGCAGAATATATATATATATGCATATATATATATAAAGATAGTAGGGGAGTGACAAATGAACAAAAGCAACAAAAACTGAGAACTGGTCTTCAGTAGGATGCAGACCACAGGGAGGGAAGCGGGGTTAGCATGGGGAGGGGAACGCTGCGACAACAGTGGAAGGAAATGGTCACTCTGGTGGAGGGTGGGGGGAGGCTGGAATGCGTCATGCATGAAACCCTATCAGGAACAATATCGCAAACCACAGTGCCTAAACTTAAAAAATAAATAAAAATGAATTTAGGGACCAGAGCAATAGTCCAGTAGGTGTAGGGTACTTGCCTTACCCGGCGGCCAACCCAGGTTCGATCCCAGGCACCCAAGCACCACTTGGAGTAATTCCTTAGTGCAGAGGCAAGAGTAACCCTTGAGCATGGCAGGTGTGCGGCCCAGAAATCAAAAAACCAAGAAATAAAGTGCCTGTCATAGAGACTGATGGGGTAGCAGAAAGGGAAACTGGGGTCAATGGCAGGACAGCGATATTGGTGAAGGCAGCTGGAACACTGTATGCCTGAAATCCAGTCATGAACAACTTTGTATACAAGTGCCTTAATTAAAAATAAATAATTATAAAGGTTGTCACTCACGGCTTCCTCTACTTCACCACTGTCTTGTGCAAACGCTGGCCCTTGGCCCACCCTTCAGAGAAATGACAAGGTCATTACTGTTCTCCTACCCACTAAGGTGGTGGCAGTCTCAGCCAGTAGCTCCCTACACCTCTCCACAGTATCTACCAGACTTCCCACTCTTCGTGATGCTCTGTGACCCTGACACATGACTCTGTGCTCCACTGATTCTCTAGTCTCCTCCTAATGGCTCTTTCTACACCAGATCCTTCCCATCCAGACCCCTTCTCTGAGTCCTTAACTTCTCTGCAATGACACAAGAATAATGTTTACATGGGTGGCTCATGCCTGGGCATTCCAGGCCTACTTAAGCTTCCTTTCAGCCTCAAAACAGCAGCTGCATTGAGTATGAAAGCCAGTCACAGGGAAGTGACAATCTGCTAAGGACTAGTATGAAAAACAAACCACTTACCCTGTTTCCCAAGATTCACATCAGGACTCTCCGTCCATCTCTAAGCTCTTCCCAGGCATAAACCTGTCCCCAACCGCCTGCAATTACACAACCCTATGCGGGTGATTCCCAGATCTGTTCCTCCTGTGTCCTACACTCACACCTACCTGTCCCCTGTGTCCGGATCATGGTCACTTTCCAGGAATACTGAAAGTCAGCCAAAGCCCAAACCAGAAGTATTTTTCACCTTAAACATGGTTTCCCCTTGCCAACTTCCCTCTCAAAACCTCAAACACAGGTTAGGCCGCGCCCATCCCACAAGACCCTCTACCAAGTCCTATAAACCCCATTTCTCTGCTGTTGTGGTAGCAGAATTCTCCTTCCCAGCCTCCTCGCCCTCACAGGCTTATGTTACTTTCCATCTGAATCACTGAAAACTCTCGCTGTGAAATCGTCTCTCTCACACCCGGGCCACACATGCAAATACCTGGGACCCAGCAAGACAAGGCAAATGTGCCAAGCAAGCCAGGGAGGCACATATCAGACAGAAGGAAATGACTCACTTCCACAAAGAAATAGGTTTGTTACAAACAAACCATTTGTGCCTGGAAAAGTGTAACATCAAGCTTCTCTCACTTGCTTGACCAATGTTGAAGAGATTGGAAATACAAGAACCATGAATCAAGGCACTGACACCAGTGGCCGGAAAGGGAATTCAAGGGTGAAGGCGGATGCTGTGCATGCAGTCAGCCTGGTACTAGAGCCCCAGAAGATTGCTGAATCTTCAGATTTTAAAAGAGGAACCAGAGATAGTAGAGAGAAAATGGCACTTGTCTTGCATGTGCAGAACCAGAAGTAAGCCCTGAGCACTGCCAGGCCCTATAGATATAAAACAAAAAGAAAAGAGAGAGAAGCCAAAAATCTGTATTTTGTCTTGGTCAGAAATAATACATGAAATGTGTGTGTGTGTGTGTGTGTGTGTATGCATAATCAGTTTGATAAATCAGACTCACAAGCCCTTCAACTGCATGAGGCCTTTTCTCATACATTCTAGTTTCCTACTTTAGCTCGCAGCAATTTCCTGAGGAAGTGAAACCAAATACTAAACTACTAAGACAAGACTTCACTTTTCCCACCCTCACCTCCATATCTGGAATCACGCACTGGACTCACACTTCATCATGTCCCAAAGGGTGGATCCATCAAATCTCAGACCAACCCAGGTGGTTCCTAGGTCTGCAGCTCATGTCTCACTGCCCAACTTAATTTCTCCGCACCCCAGGTACAAGCATTGACTTTCGGGGCGTGAGTGGCAGAGCCCATACCTTGCCGGTGTTGAGGCACTCACTGGGTTAAATCAGGGATTGCCTAACACCACCTAAACCCTCACACTGCTAGTGCAACCGGGCAATCCTGACCACAGGAATGACAACAAATATACTTACTTGCTTCTAGCTCCTTCACTGGTCCTGTTCCCTCTATGGTCATTTCTTTGCATCCCCGCTCAAAATATACCTCCCCCAAGGTATATCCATCCATCCCTACAACATCACTGCTGATAGATTCTCTTGTGCTTTCTCTGCAGGCCAGTCAGAGTTCTTAGGAATTCTTGGGGCCAGAGCTCTAGCAGAACCACTAGGGCATTTGCCTTGCACGTGAGGGACCTACATTTGATCACCGATATCCCAGATGGATCTCCAAGCACCAACAGGAGTAATACCAAAGTGCAGAGCTGGGAGTAACTCCTAAGCATTGCCAGGTGTGGCCCAAAAATCAAAATGACAACAAAACTCTTGTGTGCCAAGCCAGAGTGATAGCATAGTGGGGTAAGGCACTTGTCTTGCATGAGGCCCACCAGGGTTCACTCCCCGGCACCCCATGTGGTCCCCAGATCCCACCTGGAATTATCCCTGAGTGCAGAGTCAGGAGTAAGCCCTGAGCATCACTGGGCATGGCAAGGGAAAAAAAATTCTTTAATTTCTCGGCAGGGATGGCACTGGGGGTGTTTGGGGTGCTGGCTAGGACCTTCCAACAAGGAACTCCCCAGGGCGGGGCGGGTGGCAGACAAGGCTTGACAGGTCGGGGGCAAGAAACCCCCCAGGGCGGGGCAGGTGGCAGACAAGGCTCCCCGCCTTACCTGTGAGTTCCCCGGTTAGGTACGTTGCCATTTTGGAGAACATGTCCCGGCAGAGCTCTGTGATGTCGGCCTCTGCGGGCTCCGTGGCTTCCTCGGCCGTCTCCACCGCAGCATCGTCTGGGAGTGGGCAGAGGGCCGGAGTGAGAGTCCAGTCCAACCACGCCGGCTCCACTACCCCAGCAGCCCTGGGAGACCCGGCCCCGCGGGACACTCCGGCCACGCGCCCCTCCCACCGGCACGCCCCCCCCCCCCGTGGGCACCGCCGAGGCGCGGGGGGGGGGGGGGGACCCTAGGCCACCCCCAGGTTATTCCAGCTCCCTCTAGCCGGGACGCCCTTGACCCTGTGCGCCTCCATCCCCCCACGTCCGCGGACACTCCAGCCCCGCGGACACGCCGGCCCCGAGGGTCACGCCAGCCCCGAGGGACACGTCGGCCCCGAGGACACACCGGCCCGAGGGGCACGCCAGCCCCAAGAGACACTTCGACGCCCCCGGACACGCCAGCCCCGAGGGTCACGCTGGTCCCGAGGGACACTCGGACCCCCCGACACTCCGGCCCCGAGGGATACTCCGACACCCCGGACACGCCGGCCCCGAGGGATGCTCCGACACCCCGGACACGCCGGCCCCGAGGGACACGCCGGCCCCGAGGGACACTCGGACCCCCGACACCCCGGCCCAGCGCCCCCACCCGCGCGGCCGTGCCCGCCGGGCCGCCGCCCCGAGCGCCCCTCCCACCGGCACGCCCCGGCACGCCGGTGAACCTGGGCGCCGTCGAGGCCCCCGGGGGACTCCAGGCCGCCCCCCGGCCACCCGGTCCCCACGGACTCCAACTACCTCGGGTGGGCTCGTCCCGCAGCCCCGCCGGGACGCCCTCGGCCGCCGCCGCCATGCCCGACCCGCGCGACTTCCGGTGCGGAGGCCCGCGCATGCGCCGGGGCTGCGCGCGCTCTGTCTGTCCCGGCTTCTGCGCTCGCCCCGGGTTCCGGGCCCCACGCGGGGTCATCCGTCCCGGGTTCTCAGCCCAGTCCTGACCCTGCGAGCCGCCTCTTGCGAGCGAAAAAGCTGCATCCCGGGGCATAGCGTTTATACTCCCAGCTTAAATGCAAGCTCAGAAAGGCAGTGATTGGATCGTTATCCAAAGTCGCCTCGTTTGGCACGGAGGGAGGGGTCGCTCGTTTAGTAAGACCCGATCACTGGACACTACCCCCCCCACCCCAGAGACTCCACAAAGTCCCCAAAAGCTGAGCAGGGAACCCCTGGTTGTTTCCTTTGGGCCTAGCTGGGTGCTAAGGGGTTGCTCCTCGTGGGCTTCGTGGGCCAGGTGCCGTAGGGGATCTTGGCTTCTGCATGCAGAGGTTGCACCCCCATAGGTCGACTGAAGGTGTGGTGCGGCGAATAGGGCGCTTGCCTTGCACGAGTTTGATCCTGGGCACCGCATTCGATTCCCTGAGCATTGCCAGGAGAGATACCTGAGTGCAGAGCCAGGAGTAACCCCTGAGCACAGCTGGGTGTGTCCACCACACACACCAAATAAAGCTTGCACCCCAGACCTGTTAGCCTGCTCCCTATCCTGGACTCATCATTCTTAAGATGGTTTCTCTCATCCAGGTTTTAGGAAGCCTTCAGGAATTAACTCTTGAGCTGAAATTCTCACTTTTCCAGCTTTCTTGGTTAAAGCCAATGATCTGGTCCCCTTTTCCTTAAACTGCAGGTTTTCCTCTACTTCTCGGTTGATAAAGTGTTTCTCGGTTTCTTTGGGCTGGGGGCCATAAACAGCTGTGCTCAGGGCTTACTCCTAGCTCAAACTCAAAGTTTATTCCTGGTGGTGCTCAGGAAATCACATGTGGTGCTGGGGATCCAACCCACATGAGTCCCACGTCTGACAAGTGCCTTAACCTCTGTACTATCTCCCTGACCTCAGTAAAGCATCTTGGGGGCACCAGAGTCTAAGGATTTTTATCCATGAGACTTTGTATCCTGGCTTTGCTTCTCTGTGTATCTTGAAAACTACTCTTCTTTTTTTTTTTATGGATTTGAGGGCCAGATCCTGCACTTTGGGGGGCTATTCCTGCTTCTCAGTGCTGGGGGACTGAGAGATGCCAGGGATGCTGGGCTCCTGCCTGCACAGTCCTGCACCCTGGCTCTCAGAGCCAGTCTCCCTGTGCACTCTTGGTATCTGAATCTATGATAGCTGTTTCCTGAGTGTAGGTGACTGGGGTGTGTTTGATGGAAGAGCAGGAGTGGAGGAATGGAATGGGTGAGAAAAGGTAACTAGGAAGCAATAGAAGGAAGGTGAAAACCGAGAAGGGGAGATCACGAGGGCAAGGGGTCCAGAGCCGATTTCCCCATGCAGGTCTCTATACCAAAACTCTTGATGTGTGGTTGATTTTTTTTTCTTTTTGGATCACACCCAGTGATACTCAAGGGTTACTCCTGGCTCTGCACTCAGGTATTACTCCTGGTGGTGCTTGGGGGATCATATGGGATGCCAGGGATTGAACCGGGGTCGGCCGAGTGCAAGGCAAATGCCCTACCCACTGTACTAGAGCTCCAGCCCCAATGTGTGGTTGATTTTTGTTGTTGGTTTGCTTTGGTTTGATTTGAGGACCTCACCTGACTGTGCTCAGGGCTTACTTCTGGCTCTGCGCTCAGAGATCACTCATGGCGCGGCTCAGGGAATCACATGGGGTGCCAAGGATCAAAGTCAGGTCAGCTGCACACAAGGCAAGTACCCTACCCACTGCACTATCTCTGGCCCAATATATGGGCTTTTATCTTATCTTCTGTCTGCATCCCACCTCTCATACTCACCACCCACACGCAGCAGGTGCCTCCTTACCCTGGAGTCAGCTTAACTCTCCCCATCTCCCCCAGTTCACTGTCTTCACTCCCTTTCAAGGTACAAATAGAGCTCCCATTATTTCAAAACCCTTCCTCAGAGCCCCGATTTCATTCCCGTCCCTTTCCATGGTCACTGCCCCAACTCTACAGCTCCCGGCCGGTCCTCTCCCCACTCCCACCCCACTCCAAACCTAGGCACAAGGATGGCACCCCATCCTCACCTCCTTTTCTGCCTCTATGCCCAAAGTAGGTGCAAAGTCCTGGTTTTCAAAGGATTCTTTAATTGATCATCACCAGGAAAATAAAGTCACATTGCCTCATCGAAGAATCAGGGCCCGCAAATTTTTAGACCAAGTATCTAAATCCAGAGGTCATTGCCATGCCCAAATCTCCTTGGGCTCCCTCTTTCTCTCCTAAGTTACAGCTCCCGAGACTCAGTGGCACGGCTGAGAGCAGGTGTCCTGGATTGGTCCTGGGGAGTGGAACAAATTCCAACTTCCTTGCAACCTTCTAATTGCCCACCTAAGAAAGTCTCCTCTCCATCCCAATCTCCCCCTTCCTTTCCAGAAAACTCTTTGGGGGACGAGAACTCATGGGTACCAGAAGATCCCTAGATGCATAAAGAACAGGAATCAACAGCAAATAGGAAGATCTCTAGATCTAGACGAATTTTCTTGGCTTCCTCGCCCCTATCACAGCTATCCTTGGGGAAAGTCATTCCTTTCCTCCTTTTGTTCACTTGGTTGCTGGCTTTCTTTTTAACGCATCACTGCAAAGAGACCCAGTGGGAAATCTTCTTTCCCGTTTGACACAGAGTTGAGTGGCTGCTCACAGGGGCACCGAGTCACAAGCCCAAGCATGATGCCCAGCGCCACCAGACACAATTGGCCTAACAGCCAGCACGGGAGGATGGACCGCTGTCTACAAGCGGAGGTGAAGTGCAGAGGGGGCTTCTGGGGAGGATGCGGGAGAGGAGCTGAGGGTCTGCCCCTCTAGGACGCCTCCACCATTGTCATGGTCCTGTGGTGATGCCCCAGAGGCTGCAGGCCCAGCTGGGGATGCCTGGAGGAACCCTGAAACACCTCCTTGGTCTCCCTGTTGAAAGAAAAGGAAAGAGTCCACTTGAAGGCGGAGCCAGTGTCTCACTGTCCTTTTATGGCCTCTGATTGATTCTCCAGCTCCAGACTTTCTCAGACCAGATGGACCAACACCCCCTGCACCTCACGCTTCCTCTAATACACTATTTTTTTTAACTTTTTTGGGTCACATTCAGCGATGCTCAGAGTTATTCCTGGCTCTGCACTCAGGAATTACTCCTGGCAGTGCTTGGGAGACCCTATGCGATGCCGGAAATCAAACTCTGGTCACCCATGTGCAAGGCAAATGCCCTACCCACTGTACTATTATTCCAGCCCCACCTCTGATATACTATTGTAAATAACTTGCCAGCCCTGGTGCTGGAAAACCCAAGTTTGAAAAACGCAAGCCTTTCCAAAAATGTTGTCCCCCACCCCCATCCCCTGCCGCCACTCCCATCCTACTCATTCCCTATCCAGTGTAAAGGAAAGAGAGTTTAGCTTTGGGGACCCAAGAAGACCCGCTTGAAGGGCCACTCACTGTGGCTGGGGATGGAGCCAGCTGCCCCTGGCTCTCCAGCACCTTCAGCCTTGAGCCGACAGCATCAACCTGGGACACGACTCCTTCCAGAAGAGTCTCCAACTGCAGAACCCTCCTAGTGAGCCTGAGAGGGGGTTGAGAGAGACGGAGGGGACAGAACCATTGGGGGGTGGGGGAGCATGTCTGAGTAACTGCAGGGGCAGAGGGGACAGAAAAATCTGTGTCCCGTGGGGAGCTTGAGAGATAAGGCCCAGGGAGAATTAAGGGCGGGGTTGGTGGGGAGCCTGCAATTTTCCCCAGGCTGGGATGGGGATTGGAGAGTTGTAGGAAGAAGTCCAAGAGAAAACAAAAAGACGGCAGGTTTGGGGCCTCTGCACTTACCTGTAGAATTCTTCTGAAATGCAATCACATGCTCTGGCAGCCTCTGGGGCTGACTCACCTGTTTGGCCCAGGTTCTCAGTCTCAGCATGGAGCATCATCTGATCAGGAAGTCAGAGGTCAGAGTCAGGAGGAGACTGCCCCCCTCCACCCCCACCCCCGGCAGCTCTGGTTCCATTGTCTGCTTTATAGACTCAGACCTTGGGCTTCTGGTCTCTTCTCCAGCTCAGGCCAATAGGGTCAGAGTGATGAGGCTGGACAAGGTTTCCCTAGCCTCTGCAAAGGAGCTTCCTCCCATAGAAATGTACCAAGGCTGGGGACATGGCTCCAAGGACTGGAGCTTATGCTCCAGTACATGGGGAGATCCAGGTGGGATTCACATCCCTAGCATTGCAGGGTCTTCTAAGCACAGCTGGGAAGACCCCCAAGCACTGAGTCAGGAGTAACCCCTATCACTGCTGGGTGTGACCAAAAGAGAAAAGGAAGGAGGGAGAGAGGGAGGGAGGGAAGGAGGGAGGGAGGGAGGGAGGGAGGGAGGGAGGGAGGGAAGGAAGGAAGGAAGGAAGGAAGGAAGGAAGGAAGGAAGGAAGGAAGGAAGGAAGGAAGCTTCTTGGAGCCTTAGCGAATGAGGGTTTCACTAGAAGCTAACTCAGCTTGGAAGAAAAGGGACAGTACCAGAATTCTGGGCACTGTGTCTCCATTCTATCAACTGTATTGGACATACCGGGTAGGATGGAGCAGCATAGGAAGGACTTCTGAAGGTGAGAGTTTGAAAGTACCAGGAAGGTCAGGCCTCACAGGGGATTGTCAGAAATTCTTGGGCAATTTCCCCCTGAGCTGGGGGTGGGGGGGGAGGGGGAGGCGGGGAGCCTCAACTTTGGCTTTACATTAGAATGACCTGAGGGAGTTTTAAAACTATATAAGGGACTGGAGATACAGTATAGCGGGTAGTGCTTGCCTTGCCAAACCCCGCTGGGAGTGATCCCTGAACACAGGACCAGGAGTAAGCCCTGAGCACAGCCAGGTGTGGCCCAAAAACTGAAAACAAAACAAAACCAAAAAACTGATATATGTGTCACCCAGCACTAGAG